TTTTGTGCAACGCAGCATTATGGAAAAATTATACATAATGTACGCGCATCCTTATCTTGAATTCACTGCTTCAAGTTGGAACCCACATACAATTAAAGATATAAATATCTTAGAGAGAGTCCAGAGAAACGCCACTAAGATTGATTAAAGTATAAAGCACCTACCTTATGAAAATAGACTATGCATTTTAGACCTGACTTAATACAGTTTTTTAAAATCAAAACTGGTACCACACTCTGACCCATACTGCGCCTCGCCATTGACAGAAGTCAACTGATCAAAGCATAGTTGGCAAAAACCCGGGTTTTTTTTAAAAAACCCAGCCCAGTGGGTTTTTTTGGTTAATTTGGTTTTATTGGGTAAATTTGAGGTTTTTTGGGTTTTATTTTTGTTTTGTCTCAAAATTTTCAATATCATTAAACAAAAAAACAAAATTTTTTGTTTTTTTGTTTAATGATATTGAAAATTAGTTTCATTTTCTACATTACCTTTATTTATATATTGTTATTTAATAATTTATAACAGGAATTTTTCAAATTATTTTGAAAAAGATTTTTAAATATAATATAAAACTGTAATAGAAAAAAAAATTTCACGTTAAATATTGATTCATTTTAAATTTAAAAGTATTATTCTATATAATTAAAAATGTCAATGAGAAATGGGAAAAAGAAGGTTAGAGAATGGGAGATAATAACTGACGTTTCAATTAAACTTTGAACATGAAATTCAAATGAACAAACTTGTTTCTTTGCGCAGCGGCCTTGTTTATAAAGATTCGTGTTTTGGAGTTAAAGAGTTGAGAGAGGGTTGTAACTACAATAAGGTAGCTTCCTTAACTGTTTTGAGCTTCTCTGGTCACTACTACTCATTTAAATTCACCTTGGGAGGTTAATAACATAAAAGATTAAAAATCTTAATCAATAAAAATATTTGAATGAAAATTAATGTATTTCCAAATAATGATTCAAATATTAATAACCCTGCTCTGATAGCTGTTATTATTGGTTATAATAGTTAATAACTAATTTTGTTAATAATAAATTTGTTAACAATAATAGTTAAAAACTATTTTAGTTAATAATATTATAGTTATAATGTCAAAGTTGGTTGTAATAGCTCATAAACTTATTCAATATCTTTAAAAAACCCAATAAAACCTAGATTTACCCAGGTTTTATTGGGTTTTTTCAGGCGGGTTGTATTGGGCAGGATTTTTTGAACAGGTTTTTAATGCCAACCCTAAGTCAAAGAGATAGTTCAATATAATATTAATAGAAGTTACTCTTTCACGAATCGATTTGTTGACAACTGAATCTCCAACCAGATGAGATTATAAATGCGGAAAGCCTAAATGTCTTTAAGAACCAGTTACACCTATTTCAAATAAGTCGCCACAGTGCCGCTAAGGCATTCATTGCAACAAGATAAGGTTGCATTGTGGTTAACTAACTACATATTGGATTTCAAATTAGGCAAAATCATATGAAAATTTTTTAAATGATAACTATATTATATAAAAATAAATTGCATGAAACTATTAATTATTACTAAAATTATATAAAAATAAACAGGATAAAAGAAGAATTTTATTAACTAAAAAAGAAAAAGTGCATTTATACTAATTTTTTGACCATATTTTTTTCTTCAATTAGTTTTATAATATAGTTATCATTTTTGAAATTTTCAAATGATTTTGCTTTATTTGAGAACGTGACACCCTTATGATTAATTTATTTTTATAAAATTAGAAGAAGTCAGTTTTAGAGTTATTAAAATAAAAAATTGCAAGTTACACTAGCAAAAAGATTTAAAAGTTGTCTCTGTTTATTAGAAAGTTGAAAAGGAAGAAAAATAGTTTAAAAAAAATACTTTCAAGGTATTTATAAGGAATGACTATAATTAGTCTGTAAGTTAGTTTAACTTTTTTTTAAAACTGATAACATAGATTTAAGTTCCACACTCTCTGCATATTTAAAGATATTTTTATAATACCTTGCCAAGGAAAGCTAAAAAATGAAAAAAAATTTATGCAATTTGCTTTATGGTTCTTGAAATGATTTTTAAGCATAACAACTTTCAAATCAAAATAAAATTTGAACATTATAAATTGATTGATAGACCTAAATGCTATATAAGTTAATTTTAAACATATTTTTTTAAATATGCTAATTGGATAGACTAGAGAGCTACCTGAGATAATTTCTTGACTATTTCTGTACAATTTTTACATTTCATCTTCAAATGTACAAATTAGAGAGACCAAGATAACTACAGATAATTTCTAGACAATATTTTGAAGAAATTTAACTTATAAGAAACTTTTTTTTTAATCTCTTTTTATGCTAAAATAAAATTCTGAAAAAATAAGCTTTTTTGATATTTATCTATTTATTTTTCTGTTGCTTATTATTTATATTTATAAATTTACTTTTTAAATTTTTTTATTAATCAATTATTGTAAAAATTTCCATAAAAGATACCTTTTTCCATTAAAGATATAATTTTCCATTAAAGATGAGTTTTTACTAATACAATAAAATATAGATTTTGTATCTTTTAATAATACAACTTTTAGCCATAACTCTAAAACTCTACTTTTAGTCATAACCCTAAAACCCTTCTTTTAGTCATAACCCTAAAACCCTTCTTTTGATATTATATATGATCCATAGAATGAAAACAAATAAGTACAAAAACCTAAACATATAAATCAAGTGCAACAAAATTAGCAATCTTTAAACTTATCTACCAACCAAGCAGTAAAGTTTGACAGCAGTTGTTTCTAAGAAAGATTGACGTGGAGACAACTTTTCAAACTCATACTTGATGAGTTAAAAATACAAAAAAAACTTTCTTCAAGAAAAAAATAAGGAAAACACTACTGTTAGTAGATTGATCATTTCATTTTTATGATAAACAAACTGATATCAAAGAACATCAAGTGCTTGTTTTAAAAAAGCAAAGAGAGGTTAAGTTAGCATTACATTTACAAATGGAAAAGCAGATGCTGTTGTCAAATATTACATACAAATACCTGTTCTGAACTAAATAAAGGTTATGGAAAAGATTATTGCTTATAATACCACATATGTGAACACTAAAAAAAGAATAAGATGGTCATTCAGTTTTAATGACTAACTGCTTAAAATAAATTGAAAAAATAATAACTGTTTGGTTGTCAACACAGAGTGTTAGCCAGCCCAATGGCACCACATATATTATGGAATTCTTAATATGTTTAAAATTTCCAAAATTCAATGACCATTTTTTTTTGAAGTAATAAGACAATTTCAATAAGAACTCCCAATATTTTGTAGAACAATAACAATAAATATTCCCAATATCACAAAAACGCAATAAAAAAAATATTCCTGGCTAACATCCTGCAACAATATTTAAACTTTACAAAGTTCATACACTGAATTTTGTATGGATGTATTGATCAAGGATATTGCATTTATAGAACAACACATTGCCCAGCATTCAATATCTGCTTATCTGTGAGTTTATAAATATTTGTGAACAGATCGAAAGCAAAAATATTGATAAGTAGCAAGAAGTACATATTGTTTTTTTAACTGAAGTTTATAATGAGCTTTTAAAAATAGAATTAAAAAAATAGATATCAATATTCTTCATAAACATTTCGAGATAATGATCTTAAACAAGACAATGGAAGTCATTTTGAAATACAATGTTTTAGCTATTATGCTGCAGAAGAAAATAAAAATCACCGAAGATAAAAAAAAAATAAAAAATAAAATAAAATAAAAATTACAAAAATGAAAAAGAAAATATTGTAATTTTTTATACATCTTTTTATGAATATTTTTAAGCATCTTTAATTTGCGACAATCAGTATATCTTTTTTTAGTTATTTTAAAAATAATTACATTAAACTATTTAAAATAATTACATTTTCCATTAATTAAACCAATATGAAAGAAAAATAGAAATCAAAATGATTTCTATTTTTCTTATTATTATTTAAATTTCTATATAATTATAATTACACAATAATAATTAAATTTCTCATATAGGCTTTTCAAACTTTATCTATTGATTACAATTATCTGTTGCAAATGTTGAGCGTGGATTTTCTGCACTTTATTTCCTTCACACTAAGTTCACACTAACTTTTCCTTCACACTAAGTTCACACTAAGTTTTCCTTCACACTAAATTCACACTAAGTTGTGAAGTTTTGTGTCATTGCTGTCTTTTGATAAGTTGTATTTTGAAACAAAATCTTTTATTGTTGTCAATAATTAATTTTTGAAACAAAATCTTTTATTGTTGTTAATAATTAATTTTTGAAACATAAAAAAAATTCTTTAAATACTAAGAAACAGCTGTTAGAGCTATTTTACAGAAACTTGATTATTTTCACGATTGTACTGCGCTATGCTGGGGAAAGGCTTCAAATCTAAAATATTTTGATTTTTTTTCCTTAGTGGATATAAGTGTAAAATTATCTCCAATATTTTCACCTCCTTCTTGAGAGAGTGATCAAAGTATTTTAACCTAAAGTATTTTAACCTAAAGTATTTTAACCTAAAGTATTTTAACCTAAAGTATTTTAACCTAAAGTATTTTAACCTAAAGGACAAAATGCTGATCACAAGCTGGGGCCTCTATATAGGTAAAATTTGCAAAAGATAAAAATTTTAAACTTTACCAAAATGACTTGTGCTGAACAAAACCATTAATATGCAGTAAAAACAGCAATACTGTCATAAAGTCATTAAAAATAACAATACTGCCATTAAGTATATATATTTTGAAGTAACCTTTCTTATGAAAGAATACTAGAAAAAATAATGTATTCTCAATCTTTGCATGAGTAATACACAAGATAGGCCCATAAGATCACAAAAAAAAATTACATGACTATTAAAAACTAAAATATTTATAAAATAATTATAAAAATATAGAGTAACAATAAAAGATTTACTGAATAACTTTAAACAATGAAGAAATTTAAATTTTGAATCATACCTATCACTTCCAATGTAATGATCAAGATTTGTTTCGCTACTGCTGCTACTCAAACCCCCAAACTCATGAAAATTATCCGAAATTTGAGGTTGAACACGCACATTTTCAAAAAACTGCCCTATCATTGCTCCAAATGGTGTTGACATCACTTCAAGAGGAAGATTGGTAATATAGGATGGAATTTTTTTACCCGTAAGAAACTGTGATACTTCATTTGAAAATGTGTTGCAGTTATGATTAAACAAGTGATACTTTTCAGAACTAAATTTAAAAAAATGATATTTTACATATAATTAAATTTAATTATAAAAACCAACAAACTGTGAGTCTAAATCGCAAAAATGTGGCTGAAGCTTTTTTCCAATTTCTTTTTTAATAGCAAGTGAATTTTGAGCAATTTTTTTATACTAATCTTTTTTAAACTCAAAAAAAAAAAAAAAAAAAAAATACTTTTCTGTAAAGGAAGTTGAAATTGATTTATTCTCGGAAAAAGTTTCTTGTAAAGTGCATAAAATTTTGTTTGCAAGATTATTTAAGTGCTTTCTTTATTGTTGATTAAACATGAAAAATTAGAACTTATAAACATAATTGAAGAAGTTGGTATTAATCATGTGAACTTGCAGGCTGTTTTAGAAGCTGAAGCGAAAACAAAAATGATCACCAATGAAGAGCTGTCCGATGTGGACCTCTCAGGAAAAACTAGACTTTTTATTCTGAAATTTAGAATAAAGTATACAAAGCATAATTGTAACTTTGCAAGACTAACTAAACAAGAAGTACTCTGGTTTGAGGGTGAGTTATCCCAGAATAAAAATGCTGAACCTATTTTAGCTTTAGGAGCTGGAAGACCAGATAAAAAAAAAAAAAAATAAAGTATTCATTAAGAACAAGGAGGAAAGTTTCGAGGTAGTTTCTAGTTAAGAAGTAAGCATTGTGTTTATTTTTAAAAACCTGTGATTTAAAAAACAAGTTAAATAAAAATATATGTAATAAAAAATTTAGGTAAAACAGATGAGGCTCTGTAGCCATAGTGAAGGTAAATCAAATAGAAGAAAAAAATTCCAAGATAAGATCCCCGCTTAAATGTGGTTCAAGGTAGGAGGGGGTTTTAAACCTTCTATGGTAATCTTCCTAGTGATATTGGGTGGACACGGAACAATTTGGTCAATTTTTAATTGAGATTTTTCTAAAACCATAAATTCTTTTTATTTCAATTTTTTAAAATAAAAAATTTGTTTACATTAATTAGGGTTTCAAATTAATTTTAAGGGGCTTGATGAGCTGTTTGCAAAGATATCAAATTTTATAGCGGGTTTATGAAAAAAAAAAAATCTGCATCATTTTGCAGATTTTTCTTTTTTTCACCAAATATCTTCAATCTTGACCTCTTCAGGATGATTTGGAGGATTCCATCTTTAGAAACAACTTTCACATTATTATCTTTGCACCACTGCTGAATTTTTTTAGAACATTTAGAAGCAGCAAGATCTAGCCAAAAGGAGACATTGGTGTTTGTGTTTTTTCATAAATAGCAAAATTATTTTTTGGAGGCATTCTTTGATGTAGAGATTGGCAGTCAAGGTCTTCTTAGTGACAAAACATAAGGACTTCATACCACAGCTACAAATTGCTTGCCACACAACAAAAATGCAAATTTTTCTTATCAAATATATTTAAATTGATCATTGATAGGTTTATCTTTGTTCTCATAGTAAAATTGTTGACCAGGAAGTTGTGAAAAATTCGACTTATGCACATACTTTTATCCACCATTATTTTAACCAACTTCTTTCTTGATATAAGAATGCAAAGACTTTCTTGCAAGATCTCGCTGGTTCGCATTTCTTGCTATTGAACAAAAAACCTCTGTGGATTTAAGGAAAGTTTTCTTTCTTAAACTTCCAAGCTTTCCTTCGAAGTCTTAAACTTATTTATAATATCTATGACTGTAGATTTTGGGACTTTAGTACGTTTAGCATTTGTGCAATATGAAGTGGATGCACTTTTGCAAAAAATATTCATAACTTTTTTTATGCACCTCAATTTGATTCCAAAACATTTTGCAAATCATTGATTTCTAAACAAAGGTATATCAACATAATTAAATATAAGGAAGTAAGGTTTAATTAAAAAAATAAAAGAAATAAAAAGCATTTGTGGTTTTAGAACAATCTCAATTTAAAGTTGACCAGATTTTTCTCATAGTAAAAATACAAAGTTCTGTTATTTTAAGTTAAATTCTGATTAAGGTCCTGTTATGTTAGTTAAGTCCTGTTATGTTAGTTTAGGGTTGGAAGGGCATTAATTTGCAAAAGTTTGCTTCACATTTTCAGAGCATAGTTTTAATTAAGAAATGGTACTAAGGAAAACCGTCTAAGTGACAAAAGTGTGGAACTATGGGCAAATAATTTGAACACATAAAAAAATGAGTAACCCTAATGAAAATTTGCATTATCATAATGAAAACACTTTATACAACAATTATCATGTTATTTTAGATTGGCTAAAACTTATTCAACTGAAGAGTTAGCAGAAGCTGCTATTGTACATGCAAAAGAGTTAGCAGAAGCTGCTGTTGTACATGCAAAAGAGTTAGCAGAAGCTGCTGTTGTACATGCAAAAGAGTTAGCAAAAGCTGCTGTTGTACATGCAAAAGAGTTAGCAGAAGCTGCTGTGGTATATGCAAAAAAGTTAGCAGAAGCTGCTGTTGTACATGCAAAAGAGTTAGCAGAAGCTGCTGTAGCAAAATCCTGAAAAGATTTTTAAATGAGTATAAAAATCTTTTCTAAAAAATCAAACAAAACAAGAAAAAAGTGATAAACATCAGCCAATTATGATGCCTGCAGATCAAGCTTTGTCACTTAAAGTTTATTGTGATTTGAGCGATTCACAACATCAGATTTCTTTTAGCGAATTCTCTGATGCAAAAAAGTAGATTGTTACTCATAGGGTTTGCATATTACAGAAACTGGAAAGCGTAGTTTACAGAGCATGGTTAACCATACTTTGTCCTGAATTTCAAAACTAAAGTATGAACAGCTTCAGAATTCAGAAGAAACTGTGACCAGTGGAATATTTAATTTAAAATGTGGCATGGATGGGGCATCTTCAATAAGTATTAACAATCAAAGATTTGATGATACTGATCTTACTACTGGAATGCAGAATGAACAATCAGTATTTCAAACTGCATTAGTTCCTTTGAAGTTAAGAATTGGAGATACAAACATCTAGAATAATCCAAAACCATCCAGCCCTCATTTCTGTAGATGTTTTTAACTACAATACCAAAAGGAAACAAGTGAACTCATTGCAGAAAAAGAAATAAGTCTCAAAAAACAAATTGAAAATCTTGAAGATTATATTTTAGATCTAGATCTTTTTACTAATGAAAAGCATGGTTCCATAAAAAATAAAATTTGTTGACTTAACTATGCTTGATGGAAAATTGGTAAATGTCATGGCTTTGTGTGATTTTGTGTGTCTTTGATTTCATCACAATCGTGCAATATTTGTTTTGCAAAACCAAGTGAGATGAACAATCTACTAAAAATCAAAATGTTTACTCTACTGATAAAAAGTCTTTTAAAATGGGAATATCTACTTTACATTGTTAAATTAGATTGTTTGAGTACGTTCTACACTTGGGATATACAATGAAAATTAAAAAATATCAGGTAAGAACATAAGCTTTCTGTTATTGAGCAAAATATGAAACTCAGAATTGGTTTAGAAGTGAGCTCAGTCTTGTTGTCGATATGCCAAAGTATGGCTATGGTTCCTCAAACACAGGTAACACTTTTTTTTTTAAGTCTTTAATATCTCAAGTCATAAAAATGCTATCATGAAGTTTTGTATACTTTAATTTAAATTCTGCAAAACATGTTTTCCAGTAATTTCATATATATACTTTCTAAATTATAAAACAGTTATTATTATTGAAATAATTTTTGAAATTGACTTTCGCCACTTTTTTATGATTTGGACTCATAGTGCGGCATTAATTCTACATTAATTTGGACTCATAGTGCGGCATTAATTCTACATTAATTTGGACTCATAGTGCGGCATTAATTCTACATTAATTTGGACTCATAGTGCGGCATTAATTCTACATTAATTTGGACTTATAGTGCGGCATTAATTCTACATTAATTTGGACTCATAGTGCGGCATTAATTCTACATTAATTTGGACTCATAGTGCGGCATTAATTCTACATTAATTTGGACTCATAGTGCGGCATAATTCTACATTAATTTGGACTCATAGTGCGGCATTAATTCTACATTAATTTGGACTCATAGTGCGGCATTAATTCTACATTAATTTGGACTCATAGTGCGGCATTAATTCTACATTAATTTGGACTCATAGTGCGGCATTAATTCTACATTAATTTGGACTCATAGTGCGGCATTAATTCTACATTAATTTGGACTCATAGTGCGGCATTAATTCTACATTAATTTGGACTCATAGTGCGGCATTAATTCTACATTAATTTGGACTCATAGTGCGGCATTAATTCTACATTAATTGAAATGTAAAAGTTCTTCTATTTATGATACACTGTAAATTAAAAATACCATTGATTAGTAATAGTATATGTTTTAATGACAGAGACAATTAATACAAGAATCATTTGTTATTTTTACTAGTATTATGGCTTTCATATTTTTTATATTTTTTATATTGCTCTGTTTTATAATGCATTTTATATTATATATATATATATATATATATATATATATATATATATATATATATATATATATATATATATATATATATATATATATATATATATATATATATATATATATATATATATATATATATATATATATATATATATATATATATATATATATATATATATATATTATATAAAATGCATTATAGAACAGAGCAATAAAAAATATCCTTTTCCAGCTCAAATACCCCCTCTAAACAATCAGAGAGAGAGAGAGAGTTGGCTTCTTATCATGACAAGAATAAATGGTAGTATCATCAGCAAACAATGCCACCTTAGATGTGAGAATATCTGGAAGATCGTTAATGTAAATTAAAAAGAGTATAGGGCCAAGGATAGAACCTTGAGGAACCCCTGAGGTTATAGAATAAAAAGAAGAGTGCTGTTCATCAAGGACAACTTTTATATTACAATTGGAAAGAAAGGATTCAATAATCTTAAAGATGTTTCCAGATACACCGTAAGAAGAAAGCATATGGAGAAGACCAGCATGCCAAACTTTATC